GGGTGGGGCCGTACTTCCTCTGGGCTTCTTCTTGGCTGGAGGACAGTGACTTAGCCTCTGTCATAGGTGTGCTGGGCCTCCTGTGGCCCCCACTCTTTGTGCTGGGAGTCCCAGCCTGGGCCCACAGACCCTCCTGGGTGACTGGCTTGGTAAGAGGCAGAGGTAGTTGATGGCTGGTGACCAGTGGATCCCAGGAATGCCCAGCTCTGCCAGGAGGGAGGGGCTGCATTCACAGCCAGTAAGTGGTCTCGCTAGCCAGCCCACTGAGCAACTCCGGGTGTCCCCAACAGAGTGGGGGCTGTTCCTGGGGACCCCCACTGGGCAGGACCCACTCAGTGATCTCTGCCTGGCCCCTGGAAGCTGTGGTTGTGGGGGCCACCTGCTTCACCCTGGAGCCCTAAAGCTCGGAGGGGTGCTGACTTCTGAGCCTCCAGGCAGAGGCTCTGGGTCAGGCAGGAGCCCTCCACCCCTGGCCCAGCCACCCGTGTGCTGAACAAGGGGCGGCCGCTCACTCACCTGCTGGGCTCTGAGCATGAAGAGAAGAGCAGTCATCGGACAGTCCTGGTTCTGGAAGCCAGCCGGAAGGGCGGGGATGGGCTTGGAGGGAGCCCCGGCCCGAGGGCCCTGGGGTCCTGGGACTGTCTCTGTACTCCTTGCATCTTGCTCTGTGGGCCCCAGAGCCCCTGTGTGCTGCTCCTGACAGAGTGGGGAGGTCAGTGTTGGGCTACTGAGAGAAATGTTGGTAGTTCAGACCCACTGGCTACTCCCTGGAGAAGACACGACACTCTGTTTCTGTCACCATTTTCCCCAAGAGTCAGGATCAGGTTGGTTCGAAGCAGGGGGTGGGGTTTTCTGGGTTGTCTTGGGGCCCCGGTCCAGTTCTTGCTGCTTCACGCGGGCACCGTCCTTCCACAGGAGCTGAGCATGCATGCAGGTGGGGAACGCGAGGTGTCTCCCCCCATGCTCGTCCCTCAGCTCCCGCAGGCAGCCTCGACAGCACACACGTAATTAATCACTGGCCCTGGCCGCCTGTCAGCCCACTGGTGGCTGGCTGTGTCTTCCTGGCCGAGCTCTCCACGCAGGAGAGGAGGTGGTGTGTGGAGGAGCTGTTTATAAGTTTATGAGGATTTGCTTCTGAGGATGCACAGCCCTGGCTAGAGATTTCCAAGGCAGATAGGCCGGTTTCCGGGGCAACAGCTTTAAATGGGAAGGACGATTGGCCGTTTGGCCCCGAGGGGCTGCATCCGAGTCTCTGCAGAGTGGTAGTGACTGGTAAGGACAGACCTCACTACTCTTGCCTATTGAATCCTGGTGATCCCGGAGGCAGACCGACAGTGACGGGTCCAGGCTTGGAGCCAGCAGGTCCCCAGGCCTGCCCAGGGCCGATAGTGGTCACTCGGGGGTGTGTCTGTGTGTGCAGCCAGCGCTTCACAGACCAGGAGAGGTAATCTGTCCACCTGCAGGTGACTGCGTGAGGTCCCTCCACTGCACTTGGTTGGTAACTGAAGAGTTGGAGGTTCAGGCTCGCCGGGAGACCTCGGGAGGTGCCTGGCATTCGGCTTGTGGACACCCTGCCTCGGACCGTCCACAGAGGCCAGTTGTTCTGACCACAGGGCTTGACTCAGCGGCAGATTGTTTAGTCTTAACGTTTTGAAGTCAAGTGGACCCCTACAGTGGGGACTGCACCCCATTCCTGCCTCCGGGGAAAGTCCTCTTAACTGTGATGGACATGAGACCCGAAGGGCAGCTTCTCAGCTCGACTGGGGTGTCTTGGGCTCTGAGAAATTTCTGGGATAAAGTCTGCTTTCCTAGAATATTCTCATGGGCATGTTCCCACAGATTTCAGTTGGTTTCCAACCCAAGCAGCCCCGGCTGTGGACCTTGGATGTGGTGGGGGATTCAGTGGGGGTGGAGGAGGCTCTGGCAGCCCAAGTTGCCCAGGCGTGTGGCCGGGGATGTGGTGGGCATACAGGCAGGTGGGCGAGCAGCTTCGGTGCCCTTCCTCCCACCAGGCTGAGCCTGAGCAGGGTCTGTCCTGTCCTGTGAGGTCAGGAAGATGGTGACGGAGCAGACTGCCTGTTCTACCCCGGAGGGTGTCACGGCCCCATCTCTGGGGGCCTGCTCCTGCTGGCAGGGCTTGTCAAGGCCACTCCGAGGCATCCTGCAGCCTCCTCCCTGCTGCCCCTCCACCTGGTGAGCGGCGTGGGGATGGCCTGGTGGGGGCCAGAGCATCTGGACAAGCCCCTGACATTTCAGGATGGGCCTTCCTGTAAGACGGCTTGCAGCCCTGGGCGGGTTCCCTTTCTGCCTCTGTGGCCTTGGGTCAGGTCATTCGGGGAGTGTCCCCTGCCCACTGAGCCAGCACACAGCTGCCTAGCAGCCACCGATCGGCACCTCAGCACAGCTGCTTGAGCCTGGAGGCCTTTTCCGCTCAGGGGCCAAGTTTAACCTCATTTAAGGAGCTGCCCTCTGAAGAGGCAGACAAAACTGGACACATCACAGATTATCAGTGATGTTTCTCCTCCGGAAACAAGGCAGTGGCAGGGACAGCTCTGCCCGCCGCAGGGACTGCTCTACCCGCCGCAGGGACAGCTCTGCCCTTGGGCCTGAGGAAACTGGGGCATGGCCGAGACCTGCTCACAGGGTTCGGGTCTCTGTGGAGTGAGGCATTTAAACACTAAATCTGGGTCAGCCCAGCGTGTCTGGCTCCTGTGCCAACACCAGCCCACTGCAGTGCCCATGGGCCCCAGCAGGAGAGGCTCCATGCCTGGCTCTTTGGGGATTCGAGTACTGGTCCCATAACCCTGTCTGCGGTGGAGGAGGTCCAATCCTGTAACCCTGTCAGCAGTGGGGGAGGTCGTAACCCCGTCTGCAGTGGGGAAAGCCCTCATCCCGTAGCCCTGTCAGCAGTGGGGGAGGTTCGATCCTGTAACCCCCGTCAGCAGCAGGGGGGCAAGATTGGGCTTGTGCGCTAGAGTTGCCTCTGGAGATTGGGCGACCCAAGGGCCTGCTGGATTCCAGCACGTCTGGATGTTTCTGAGAGCTGTGTGCTCGGATTTCCAGGCTCCTTAAGCATTTAGGCCTCTGGAAGCGGAGGGCAGCTGCTGTGGCCAGGTGCTCCCATCTGTGATGTGAAAGGGGTCTTGGACTTCCACTTGAGGAGGGCAGCACCCAGCGCGGGGGCCTGGTGCTCCCATCTGTGAAAGGCCCCATGATGCTCACAAGCCCGGCTGGTTGGCGGCCGGGAAGGGCCCTGGCTCCTTGGAGACTCCCGACTTCCGCGAGGCTGGCCCCACCCCCAGTGGCCCCCAGTGGGGCACACCCAGCGGCACATTCAGGCCTTCTCCCACCGGCCCTAGAAAGGTCTATATGGGGCCAAGTTCTTCCCCGTCAAGAAATTTCTGAGAAGCAGACACTTGTAAAGGTTCCCAGGGTGCATCTCAGTAGGTGGTCGGGGACAGCTGCCCTTCCTCACTCTGCCTGCCCCTCAAATGCACCTGTACGTGAGGCTGTGGGGTGCACCCTGACCTGGATGTGAAAGGGGTCTTGGACTTCCACTTGAGGAGGGCAGCACCCAGCGCGGGGGCCTGGTGGGTTAACAGGTGCTTGCTGTGGGCCATCTTGATGCTTGCTCCCTCACACACACACACACACACACACACGAGAACATGCAAACACACATACACATACAGACGCACACACTTGTCCATGTGAAACTTGGAATGCAATGCACACAGGTACTCACTTGAACTAGCATGAACACACTTGAACTCTTGCACGTATATGAACGGATACACTCACTCTTGGCGACACACTCGTGAGTCTGTACTTAGAAGAGCACAGCTGTGAGTTGGGGCCGACTCCTCGCTGCCCCTCCACGAGCTACTGAGGCGGGAACCCCACAGGACGAGGCTGCCTGTCTTTCTCTGTCGGAGCCACTGGTGCTGCCGGTGAATTTGAACCTCGCGTGCGGCCGAGCTCTGGGTGAGCAGCCCCGTCCCCTGTGGACCTTGCCGGCAGGCTCCCTGCACACAGAAGTGAACTCACAAATGCGCACGCGCGCTGCAGAGTGTGTGACACACGTCCTTCCAGAGTGTGCGACACACGTCCTTCCAGAGTGTGTGACACGCGCGCTGCAGAGTGTGTGACACACGTCCTTCCAGAGTGTGTGACACACGCGCTTGCAGAGTGTGTGACACACGCGCTTGCAGAGTGTGTGACACATGCCCTTGCAGAGTCTGTGACACACGCCCGTGTGCACACCTGTGATCGTGCACCCACACGTGTGCATATAAGCGGGAACACACAGGAATCCTTGAACGTCCGGAGCATAAGTACGTACGTGAACTCACGTGCGCTCACACGTGTAAACTTTTACCCTGAGTTGTGGGAGGACAGGCGGACTCCAGGGCAGGGGTGGGAGCTGGGTCTGGCTTTCTCTGGCTGGTCCCCGGCTGGGCCCCCGTGGCAGTGCTGGGTCAACACTCTGCTTGCCTTTTCTCTGGCCCCTGGAGAGACACTAACAATGTTCGTGTGACCACACAGGTGCTTTCCCTGTGGTCGTGCGCACCTGCGCTGTGGCCCTCCTTCTGTGACATTGTGTAAGTCACTTTTCCTCTCTGATCTCCGTTCCCCCATCTCTAACATAGGGCAGTACCTCCTGTGATCGTGACCACTTGGAGATGCTGTGATGACATTATGAACAGCATCCTGGTCTCCTGCTTTGTCATGTACTCGGGGCCCCCAGCAGCGCCTTTCTTAGCGCATAGATGAATCAAGGAGCTGGGGCCCCTGTGTGGGGGTCAGCAGGGCAGGGGTTCCTGCTGAGGCCTGCCCCTCTCTAGGTGTGCTCGGCACCTACCCCGAGGTCGGAAGGACGAACGTCCGTCAGTACAGAGCAGGCGTCTAGCCTGCGCCATGTGGGCAGCGTCCCCAAGATGCAGTGTGTAGTGGCCACCGTGTGAGCCCGTGGTGACCGCTGATCTCATTTCTCTCTCCAGGTCATCTCGGCCGTGTCCAGGCTCTCCCTACACAGCATCGCACAGAACAAAGGCATCAGGTGAGCTCTGCTTGGCCGGTCCACTCAGTCATTCCCAAGTTCGCCTGTGCATTGTCACCATCCGAGTGGCGTGGTTGAGTTGTCAGCCACGCCGGGGACACCTTGCCAGCATGTTCCTCAAAGCTGGGAAATCTCTTTCGATTTAGCTAATGAGATCAGCACATTAACCGTCCACACATCACTGCTCACCGAAGCCGGCTTTCCTCATGTCAGCACGAGAGGAGAGTGGCCCTGTGTATGGTGGGGGCTGTGGGCTCAGGTGGGCATCTGGTGGCCTGAGGGGGGCTCAGGTGGGCAGGGGGATGAGGGCAAGAGCTCATGAGGAGTGAGGTGGCCAGGTGGACGGGCACATCGGGGTGCGGGGAAGTTTGTGGGTCTGGACTCAGAGGGCCTCACCATGGTGCTGGCCATTGGCACCACCTGTGCCCGGGGTCCAGGGTGGTGGAGTCCGTCTACCTGGGCAGGCATCACTGGAGAGGGCTGTGTGGCTGGGGATGCACCCGAGGCTGCTTGAGGCAAAGCGCCTCGTGAAGACCTGCCCGTTCTCCATTCTGGATGCCCTAGTCGGATGTCACTGTGGACTTCTGGGGCAGATCCACCTTGCCCCTCCAGCTCCGGTGGCCTCACATGGGCCTTGGCTTGTGGTCACGTCTTTCCAGTCCCTGCTCCATCCTCACAGGGTACGTTGTCCCCTGTCCCCTTTCCTCACTTTAGGGCCAGCTGTCCTTGGGTTTGGGGCCCACTGGCTAAGCTGGCCATCTCATCTCAAGGCCCTTAATCACACCGCAGAAGGCCCATGTGGCCCGTTCGGGCCCCCGCTCACCCCACTGTACCAGGTCCCCATCACTGGGTGACTGCACACGTGAGCGAGGCCCTGGGGACTCTCCACAGCGTTGTCAGAGGAGACACTGCTTTGAGCTGTGCGTTTTGTCTCAGACGTAGATTTAAAAATGCACACCCACGTAGATGAGTGGATGCCAACGCCCCGCGGCCCCAGAGGACAGAGCGGAGCCGCCCATCAGGTGTCCAAGGCTGTGGTGAAAGCCCACTCTCTCCTCTCCTGAGACAGGAGCGGCTGGTGGGTTTGAACCACTGACCTTTCAATTAGCCGAGTACTTAACCACTGCACCACCATGGCTCTCAGGGAAAGGTGAGCCCAGAGCCTTGGAGTTACTTCCCCCCAGGGGTCATGGTGACGCTCCGTCGGGGTTTCCGGGTCTGTGAATTTGAACAGGAGCTGACTGCCTGCCTCACCTCTGTCCCACTGGAGAGGCTGCTGACTTTGAACTGTGGACTTTTCTGTCAGCAGTCAAGGCTGCTAGATGAGCAGTCAGCTGTGAATGTTTTTCAGTAGATGCGTCTGGTCCAGGCCATGGGCTTCGCAGTTACCTGCTGTGCATCAGAGAGCTGGACAGTGACTAAGGATGACAGAAGAAGAATCGATGCCTTTGAGCTGTGGTGCTGGAGAAGAGCATTGAACATACCATGAACTGCCAAGAGAACAAACAGGTCTGTCCTGGAGAGGGTGAAACCAAGATTCTCCTTGGAGGCAAGGACTTTGAAGCTCCGTCTGACATACTTTGGGCATGTTGCCAGGAGGGAACAGTCCTTGGAGAGGGACATCATGCTTGGAAGGGTGGAGGGACAGCGCAGGAAGGGAAGGGCCCTGGATGAGATGGATTGATACAGTAACTGGGACAATGGGGGTAGATGTGTCAGAGTCAGGGAGACTGGCTCAGGACAGGGCAGGCTTCAGAGCTGTTGTGTATAGGGTCGCTGTGAGTCACAGGTGACTCGATGGCACCTAACAGCAACAACAATTCTTAAACAAGGATTTTCTTTTACTTGGATGCACATTCAACTCCCGTGGAAGCAACAGCTGAGGAATCATTGGGAAAATCTGCCGAGGACTCTTAAAAGGGCTGAGGAGCAGCAATATCATTCTAAAGACCAAGGTGCCCCTGGCCCAGGAGCAGCAATATCATTCTAAAGACCAAGGTGCCCCTGGCCCACGCCTTGGTATTTTCAGCTGCTTCGTGTGCATGTGGACTCTGACGGTGAATAAGGACAATGAACAAGGAAGACCGAAGCAAATGTGATGCCCTGACTTGTGTTATCTGGGAGGGTAGAACGTGCCCTGACCTGCTCCATGGGCCTGCAGGTCCTGGCAGAGGTGCAGCCAGAGTCCTCGGAAGCACGGACATGCCGTGGGCGTGTGTCAGGGGGGTCAGTTCTCGGAAAAGGACATTATGCTTGTAGAAGCAGAGGATTCGCAAAGGAGGAAAGGCATCCGCGCGCGAGGGCTTGATGCAGTGACCGAGACAGGGTGGTGCGGGCTGAGGGCGGCTTTGTTCTGTTGTACATGGGGTCGCTTTGCGTCAGCGTCAGCTCAGTAACACACCTGACAGTAGCCACGGAGAAAGTACGGTGCCTGGGGTGGGACAGTGAGGAGGCCTCCATGGACCGGCACCCCGCCCCCCGGACCGCCCCCC